TGGGGGAGAGGGCTCCTAGAGGAACAAGTATCTTTACTGTTCACTGGCTCTTGGTCCCTGTGGGCACTTGGCCCACACCTGCAGGTCCACAGTGCACAAATGACCCTCGCCTAGCTCCCCAGAAAGTATCTAGAGAGAAGGAAGAAGAATGTCACATGTGGGTGTAAAGGAATCAGTTACATATTCCTACTTAATGTGTTCCTTCCCAAGTAAGATAATTTCCTGTGAGTCAAGTGGTTTCATCCTCCTATTCAGCAGACAATGCTGGAACCCTCTGGAAATGATTAAAATACAACTTATCTTCAATTGTCCATCATTTAAAAAAAAATACACATCAAAATGACTGCTTACAAAAAACACATAACCTATTACAATACTCTTAAAAATCATTTTCCCGTAACTGTTCTCTCACCGTTCCTCAACAACCCTTTATGAAGCTCTTGGTGCTCTCATGACACACACTTAATTGCAGCCTTCCTGAGTTTCCCTAACCCTCACAAATTCTCCATAAAAACTGCCTCCTCTCTGGAGATGGTCTCCCTTTCTTCAGAATTCAGGGTTTCTGAGGCAATCTCCTCCTACACATCTATATATTTCTCTCCTACTTCCTTCCTCCCTTCCTTCTCTCCCCTTCTTTCCTTCCTCCCTCCCTTCCTCCCTTCCTCCTCCTCCCTCTCTTCCTCCCTTTCTCCCTTCCTTTCTTCCTCACTCCCTCCCTCCCTCCTGCCTCCCTTTCTTCTCTCCCCTCCCTCCCTCCCTCCCTCCCTTCCTCTCTCCCTCCTCCTCCCTCTCTTCCTCCCTTTCTCCCTTCTTCCCTTCCTTTCTTCCTCACTCCCTCCCTCCTGCCTCCCTTTCTTCTCTCCCTTCCCTCCCTTCCTCCTTCCCTCCCTCCCTTCCTTCCTTCCTCCTACACCTAGAGATAGGAACACCTCCAAGCCCATGCTGATTGGTGCCAATCTTGCCCACTGTGGGAGTCCTGGCTTCCCTTCCGTCCCTCCTCTCCCCAGCTCAAGGTATCTCACTGGCCAGTTATGAAAGGCAGGTTTACACGGAACCTAAAGGTTCAAAGATTTGCCAGATTCACAGAGGTTTTCATATCAGGGAAGAACAACAGGCCAGCAGTAGGAAGGCCGATCCCTTCACCTCTTCCCATAGTCTGTGACACCCTCCTCCACTTCTGATGTCTACAAACTTTCCCCACAGCTAGCCAAACAGACATTTTGGGGACAGAATCAGAGTGGCTCCTTGCTTCAGAAAATGCTTTTACATCAGTTCTCTTTTTCCTTAACTTTCTGCCTTCTTCCCCCAATGTGAGAAGCGGCTTTCTTCTATCTCAATATATCTGTACTATCATCTGTGAGTGCTCTGCTTCAGTCAGTTTTCACCTTGGATGAGGAAAGCTCCATGTTTGGGATGGGAAGGGAGAGTTGGTGGCATGGAGGACTGTGGGGAAGGAGTCAGGGATGGCACCAGGGCTCAGTCAAAGTTGGGAGTATTCAAGTCTGAGAGCAGTCGAGATGAGATGCAAGCTCCCTGGAGGGGTCTGGTCTCAATAGGAACAGGAACCACAGCCAGGTGCTCCTGATTACCTCATCCTGCCCACAAGGCCCGGGCTTGACATGCTGGGATTAATTCCATGCTTCTGGCTGGAGGCAGAGAAGCTGCTTCATTTACTAAGGTCTTTCTGTTGTCAGCACTTTTTCACTGGTCTTCTGGTCATCTGTGTCCTTGGAGTTCCAGGTTCCTAGCGATTGCCGGGGGCCACTCATGGGCCCCCTTAACGGACTCCCTGAATTTGGGTCCTCCTGGTGTCTAATCCTCGAAGCTGAACTTCAGATAACATTGAGATAGACAGGACTCTGGGCTCAGGATTCCAGAAAGTACCACTCAAGAGTCCTCAGATATGGAGAAGGAAGAGACAATGAGAGATACTAGGTAAAAAGTAGAGGATGCGAGTCACAATGGGCAGCATGTTCAGGAAGCTCAAATTCAGAGTAGGTCAGGATATACACAGGGTAGGGGAGCAAAAGGCCTCATCTCATTTTAACCAGTGCAAGGTCTAGGAGAAGCATTCCAATGCCCATTCTACAGATGAGGCTAAAGAGTTGATGACCTCAAAGGTCAGGCTATTTAAGCAGAGAAGCCAGAACTAGGACTGAGGGCTCATCTTGGTGCCCACAGTTAAGCCCGAGCTCAAAATATCTGCTTCAACCACCCAACTACTCAAAACCTATGGCCATCTGCTCTAGCTTGACACATGACTTTCTGTTAAGAAGCTAATGGTTCTATTTTCAGGCTTTCAGAGATTTTTTTTACCCAGAAAACCCCTTTCTAAAGTCTCCAGAATTCTTTGGCAGCATCTTTCTAACCTCCTCTTTAGTCCTACCATGCTATTTGCATTCCACTTTGTCAGCATTTCCCCCGTCCCCCCACCATGGCCTCACATTTCTGAGCCATGTGACAGACACCATGCAGATGGGAGCTGCCTAAGGCCTTCTCATCCCCATCTCTAAGTTAGTTTCCGTCTTGCTACAGAATGACTAACTAGTAATCAGACTTCCATGAAAATAACAAATGGAGACAATTATGTGTGCTTTTTAAGAGAAGGCCTACTGAAGTGCATTTCGTTCATCAAAATAGAGATGACCCAGCCCACGTTCTGGAACTTTCCATGGCACGCCGGCCCACATTCTGATGCTTTCTAGGGTGCGTCACAAGACCAACCTAGTCAGTCCATCTGCAGGGAGTAGGAGGTGCCCAGGTGCTTCCCTGGGAGCCAATCAGAATTGCTAATAGTATACTGTCTGGGAATAGTTTCGTGTATTTAAATCTTTCATATTTTGAACCTGTTTCTACGTTTGTCTTATAATGCGAATTGTGCTTTTATTTAAGACAAGGACCTTCACTGAATTTTCAAATTACACATTCAACTAGTTTTAAAGGTGGTGGAACCAGCCCTAACTTCCCTGTGGGGCATTCATTGTATCTTTCTTCTTCTTCTTCTTCTTTTTTTTTTTTTTTTCTAGGTTTAGTTATATCCTTGAACTCACTTTGTAGCCCAGGGTAGCTTTGAACTCACAGGGATCCCAAGTGTTGGGATTACAGGAGTGGGCCACCATACCCAGCTCCTGCGGGTTTTAAAGTCAGTTATCTCTAGAAATTAGTTTTGTTTCAGAATTTTGCCATTATATTTCTCCCTGTCAAATGATTTTAATAGAATGAAGGTTCTCATTCTGTAGTTTCATTGTGTTCTGTTTACCTTCCTATTTGGGGAGATCCATTCTAGCTAATAGAGAAAAGGAGGAAAATAAAGTGAACTGCCTGAAGTTCAACACAAACTTAGATCAGCTCGCTTTAGCCTTAGCCCCAGGAGAACACAAAGGATGTTGTTACAGAAAATGTGTTACCTTGGGTGTGGGGAACACCAGGGGAGGACAGGAGTGTCACAGAATCCCTGAACAGTCAGGGATCCTGTGATGTTGGTTTCAAAATGGAATTTATCTTCAAATCCCAAGATTATTGATTTCCTTCCAAATTGCATGATCTACATGGTTTAGAGAACTGTTGAAAAAAAAATTGCTTTCCATATTTTGATTGACATTAAAAACACTGTGAAAATAGTTTGGAACTTGATCTCTTTGAGGGAAAGACGATAATCAAGCTATAGCTTTCCCCTGCAGCTTTGTTCTCACACATACTCAGAACCATTCCAGGGAGAGAAATTCACAGAGAAGCCTGTTCTCATATATCACTTCTAGAAGGAGAAAGAGGCATTCTCAAGAAATTGTCCCTCAACTCCTAAATACAAAGAGAAAGGCCATTAAATGACTCTCACCCCCAAACTATGGTATTTCATAGGCTAGAATCCAATGGAATCAGTCACTGGGTGTCTTTCACATCTAGGTTGTTAAAAATGACCAGGTTCACCCCTCTTCCCCCATGCTGCCTCATCTTTGCTTCAGTTCTAGCCATACATGTCTGGCTTCTCCGAACAAGCTAGGAGGGTTTTACTATTTCAGTTTACAAGCCCATCTGCATAGTCGTGTTACCAGGAGGGATCCAAGAATACCAACCACTTTGTTCTCATCCACTTTCTTGACCATGTATTGCCACAGCACTGAAACTCCCCCGCCCTTTACAATAAGGTCTTTCTAAAAGGAGTTACCGACTACTACCGGCTAGCTTCTTGTACTTCTGTTTAAGATGCCCAAATACGTCTATCTTGAAATTAAAGCCTGTCCGCTTCCTTTCTGGAACGCATTTCAGATATAGATCTTTTCAAGTTCCCTAGGCATACTCAGGCACACTTTCAAACAGAAAATAAGACTTAAGAAATAGTTTGTTAGGAGCTGTAAAAGCACACCCACTAGTATATGTATCCTTTTTGTTATTAAGTTTTATATAGGAAATAGAACACAGTAAGCATCTTCTGTCTTAGCAAATATCCGATCAATGACATTAACTCAACTGGCAGTGGTGCTAGAATCCTCCTCAGACCTTATTTTCTTGCAGGTTTGAAAGTATTCATGAATACTTACTGCAGAATAACATAGAAATACCTTTGGTTAAAGAGCTATCACTCTTTTGGTTCCTCGTTAACTAAAAATTGTTGCCATTATTTTTAAAGCAAAACCTTTTAAAGTGCCTGATAATACAAGATGCAGGAGAACCCTCTAGGTGAACAGACTGCTAACCTTGGCCTGTAAAACATTTCCCCACCTCTGTCTCCCAAACAAAAGACCACCCTAACCAAAGTTCCCAGTGCCCCCAGAACACAAGTTATTGTAATCACTTCTCTTAACCCGTCTCTAGAAACAAAATCTGAAATCTCATCCTGTTTGTCTTCCGGCAACATTGGCAGGGCAACGGACGTCCAGACCAGTTCTGGGAATTTGCGTGCTTTATTGCCTTGAACAGTCTTGGCTAGGAATGCTGACTGCGACTGGAGACGGTCCCCAGCTTCTCTGAAGGAGAGAAAAAGAAAAACCCCCATTCCTTACCTCCGTGAGGCTGCAACTTCTTCCAGAGGACAACGCTGGAAAGGAAGGACTGATTCCTTTAAGGGAGAGCACAGCGAGAGAGCAGTAGGCAGGCAGGCAGCCTAGCGCACAGCACAGTGCCCTACTCAATAAAACTGCAGACCGCCCTTCTTTGGCCCCTCCCCGAAGTCCACGCTAAGCGAACACATAGCCCCTATGTTTACAGTCACAGGCGGTGGTATGCATTGTCTAGCAGTTTTTCTAATAGGCAGCCAATGACGACACCCAGCCAAGGTAACGCAGTCTGCCTGAGCAGATGCCTGTCATTCCCTAAGCATGCTCAGGAAATCACTCATCAGAAAAACCAAGACCTAAAAAGCTCTGAAACTGCAAGCAGGCTGCCAAAACCAGCCTGCTCCATGCCCTTTTTTGGTTATCCTTAGCAGAGCCTCTGGAAGTGGATCCATTGTCAGGAACAATCATGAGAAATGTGAATCTTGGAGAAAGAGGCTGTCTTGTAGAACACAAATGGAGCTTTAGAGAGAAAGCACAGCCTATGAGATGAGAAGCTAGCGTTAGGTTTATGGGGTGGGAGTGTATTTCTTTTCAAAGTTCTTGCACACACAGAATGAATTTAAATTGTTATGCAATTTGAAAACCTGAAACAGACAAGACCCAGGTCTGCCTTACAGACTAAATTCTAGCCTGGAAGAGCTACAGCCTCCTAAAATATGTCTCTGTGTGTTATGAAAATAATTGGCCATGTTGCTCAGAATAAACCTCAGTAGTGTTGGCCAGAATAAGCCGCAGGCCAGAATTCAGCTAGGCAGGTTCCTAAGGCTTGTGTAGGCTCCTGGACTTTCCCTGTCTGCCTGCTTCCCGCCCCCCCCTTTTGTGTTCTTGATGGTGACAATGAGGAGTTAATGCTCGGAACTGAAGCTCAGTAAAGAGCCACGGAGAGACCCAGCACCTGCTTTGGAGCTGGTCTGCTGCTATGCATAGGGGGCTGAGATGCCTCTCTCTCTAGGTGACCCAAGGTCCTAGTTACTTCTGGGTTACAACTAGGAGATGCTGAATTAACATGCAGCCAACTGTCCCCCTCACACATTCAGTCGTGGTCTTATGTGTTTCAGAATTAGCCAAGTTAGTACTTTACTCAATAAAACATTTCCTCCCCTCTGGAGTACCTACTGTTTGTCAGCCCCCTGGCTAGGTCTCGTTATTGCTATGTGTTTGGACATTCTTTCACCACCCACCAAGAAATTTTAAATATTTTCCCTGGCTAATTACAACACCAGATGCTTGGTCTTCAAAAAAATTAAGATTTTACTGAAAAAGCTGTTCCTTCTTTATGAAGATTTAACTTCAAAATGCTCTCTATTTATGAAAAACTCCCTTTCCTTAGTGTCTAATTCAGAACACTTGAGAACCACGGGATGTTTTGTTCTCCAGCCGTTTAGTGATAACAGGTTACCCAGGAGTACCTGGACTGAATCTGTACACATCTCTCTCTTAGGGAGGCTAGAAAGTCCCCTCCCCTCCCTTCTTCCCAACTGCCATTGCTGCCCAGCACAAAACAGCTACACTGAAGGCTACATGCACCACAGAGGGCAAGTGGGCCTTAATATCCTAAATTAGAAATCAAATGCTCTTTTCCAGAGAAACAGAATAAACAGTTGGTTGGTGGGAATACTCTAGTCAGTGTTGCAATTCAAGGTCACGAAGCTCCACTAGCGTTTGGGGAACAGCACCATTTATAAAAATTGATCCTAGGGGAATATGTCTTTTGATCCCAAATAAATGATTAAAAATAAACTTGTGGAATACAGCCAGTGAGCATCCCATATGTGGACAGGTTGTAAAGACAGAATCCTATTTTTTTAGTGTAGTAAATGGCCAAGACTCTGCAGGGTGGACATCAGCAAGTCCTGCCAGCTCAGTCATGATATGAAGGTACAGCTCCTGTCCAGAGATGTTCCAGGCATATAATCTGTGGGGAGAATCACCCTGTAACTCAAGGAATTCTGTTTAAAAGGCTATTTTCCACTGCCACTGTTGACTTCATCCTAAACAACTTTCTCTCATGTTTCTTGGGAATGTCCTTTGGTTGAACAGCATCCGGGCACAATTTTACAATGTATAAATGAAACAAATACCAGCTTTCTAGAGGAAAGAAAATGTGTGCTACCAACGGGGAAAATATTATCAACAGGAAACATGGAAGGGACATGAATTTTGCATGGTTTTTAGAAGATAAAGAGCTAAATATTTTTGGGTTATGCCTTTGGAAAAGAGAAGCATGTTTTCCTAGATAAATTTTGGGTAGTTCACGTATATGCATGGCATGATGGGCAATCATTCATAAAGCCTTCTTTATATATTTGAAATTAGACTTCTTGTCAGGGAATTAGATTGGAAGAATAAATTTCACATATAATTCTGGGGAGTGAACCAAGAGACTTTATACTGAGCTACATCCTTGGCTCAGTTTTTATTTCCTGGGGTAGTTTTTATTTGCTAAGAGTGTTCTGAACTCAAACTTGCTGTTTGTCTCAGCCTCCCAGAGTTTTGCAATTATAGGCAAGTGTTATCATCCAGCCTTTCTTTGTTGTTGTTTTCAGTTTTTTCTTGTTAAACACACAGAAACAAGAAAGAATGAAAAAGAAAAATGTACCCACTCTCTGCCATGGGAAACTTTACTTTCACACTGTTTTCTTTTTCTCAGAGATCATCTGTAAACAGCACTAAAAAATACATTGGATTATGTAGGAAATTCATATGGAATATATTTTCCACTTTTGCCACCCCAGATAAAGAAGACTTTGTCTATCGTAGGATAATCAGGGTATAACAAATCTAAAGAGACATTTGGAAATATCTGGATGACTCATGGCATATTTTTGGTTCTCAGTGTTTTCTATCATGTAGATCAGTAGCTAGCAATTATATGTTTTTTCTGTGTTGATTTGGGAAAAGTAAAAGCAGGCCATTTTTTTCATATAAAATTACCATCACTTTATTCAGCTTGTGAAAAATAAATGTTATTCCAGCATAAAAATATGTACTTTTCTAAGTAGAAAAAAATTGAAACTTCTTTTTTTTTTAAATGTGTTTGGCACGGGGGCTCACCGCGCAGCTGAGACTCATAGTGATACTCCTGTTTTCAGCCTCCCCAGCGCTGGGATTACAGGTGTGTGGCACCATGCCTCGACACCATGACTGGCTCTGTGCATCCAGGGAAGGGGCCGGTGCAGCATGTGTTTCCCCAGATCAAATCCTGGTCCCTGCACTTACCTAAGCAGGTGCTAAGTCTACTGAGCTATCTTGCCAGCCCTAAAATTGAAACTTTTAAAAGACAATGGAACACCTTTTCCTCCATCCTTTTACTCAAACATAACCTTCCCAGATACCAAAGCTTATGAAAGAAGAACAAACTAGTAGAATCTTGATAGAAAAGTTGGACAACAATGTACACAGATACACACACATAAAAAATTTAGACTAAATCCACTTAAATCTAGATTTTTAAAACTTAGCAATTGAATTTAAAAACATATGTAAAAAAAAGACCAACATAGGGATGGTTGAAAATCTAATATTTATTCATCTACTATACAATACTTGAAATTTAAGATTTTTTAAAAGCGTGGTAAAAAGAAAGATCACCTAAGTATATAGAGAATATATGTGATAAAATTAATAATTGTTTATAAAAATTTGTCTTGGAAAACTAGAAAAAGAATATAAGCACAATGAGAAACTTCAACTGGAAATCTATACCTAACATCATGTTTAATGATAAAATGTTAAAGACATTTTTTACAACCAAAGAAAAGACTGTCTCTTCCACAATTAAAAAAAATATGCTGGAGGTCCTAACCAAGGGAAAAAAGCAGTAAAAATGAACCACTGGGAATAGAAATAAAAATAAATATAAATATCTTTATTTGTATGATATGGTTATTTGTGTAGAAAATTCAAGAGCATATACTAAAAGAATTTGTAAGAATGTTGCGTGTTCAAGTTCAGAATGCGATAGTCCAGAGTTCCTTTAAAAGCCTATCTCTAATTCTTAAACACAATGAAAAGGATGCTATCATAATAACAAAAAGTATATATTACTTGAGAATAAATGTGATAAAATATGCCCAAGAAAGTTGTAAAACCTGATTTAAGAACATAACAGATCCAAATAAATGATGAAATATATTATATTCCTGGATAGAAAACATTAAAGTTGTAAAGATGTAAATTATGATCAAAGTAATCTATACTTTAGCTTTTTAAATAGCAATTCCGAAATGATCTGCTTTTAGAACTTGAAAAAAATAGTAAATACAAGAAATTAAAATACCAAAAATTGGTAATGAACTTTTAATAGGTCATTTCTGATTAAGATAAATGGTATTGATGCGAGAATAGATGGACTGGTTAATAAAATAAAACAGAAAGCCTAGAGGCAGATTCAGATACCTATAGTAACATTTCAAACAGCAGTAGAAGTATTAAAGTCACAGAAGAAATAATATTATTCTATTATGGTCTTCCACAATGGATTACATGGAAATAGTAAACTTGGATTCAAAATTCCTACCCTAAAATAAAATAAACTAAAATACATGAAAAGCAAAAGTTGGAAATTATGAGAAAAGATTATAAGCCAGGGGTGGTGGTGCATTCCTGTAATCCCAGTACTTGGAAGGCTGAGGTAGGAGGATTGTTGAGAGTTTGAGACCAGTCTGGGCTACAAAGTGAGCTCAAGGCACCCTGAACTGCATAGCCAGATCCTGTCTCAAAAAGACATAAAACAAAAGAAAGAAAAGATTATACATGTATATTTTTATCACAGGATATGGAACATTAAAAACTGAATTTATAAATAAAAAACTGATAAGCTTGTGGGAGTGGCTAAACACGGCAGACTGAATGAGCAGTGCTTATTTATTTCTGTTCCTTCTCTAAAACCTCACCAAAACGATAGTTAAGCCTAAAAAGCATACATAAATCCCACAAGGCAGAGTCCTGGAATGGAGTCAGCAGGAATCCAGACATCAGACAAGCTTTGGAACATGGAAAATGGACAGATGGCTGGTAATTGACTTAGCAGAGCCAAGAGAATGAACTTCTGTCTTGTGGACTGGGAGGCCAATGAGAAAGATGCTGATTCATGCCTCAGACTGGGGAAAATCTCAGCATTTGGAAACCTTGGGAATTTCTGAAGGTATGGAGTGGAGTGGAGAACTGGTTTGGTTGAAAATCTAGCAAGAAACTCAGATAGCCTCTTATAGCCAGTGCGAGGTGAATACCACTCTCAACAGGACAGAAAGCTGGAATTTTATTGTGTGTT